CTTGATCAAGTGTAAATTTTCTGCTGAAAACAGTGTCGTATTTTCACTTTTAATTGTCAGAGTTGAATGCGGGCATTTTGTACAGGACCAGAAGAAATAGGCAACTTAAAGCCAAATTTGTACCTGAGTTCAAATTTTTTGCTGAAGTTTTTTTAGCTGTCGCAATATTTTAACATATTGGGTTACTTCTTAATGATCGATTTTCGTTATTTGCATTAACAGTTTAATAATTGTTCATAAAAAGGAGAAGCTCAAAAGTTGAAAAAGTTGCTGGCTGATAACGATTTCGGTTCTTCGCTAGGTCAAAAATTTGTCTGTTTAAAAAGTCACTTTAGGCAGCTTTTTCGGAACTCGGAGTACTTTAGAATTTCGAAAAAGGTGATGGTGAGTTAAGCAATATTCTGTGGTAACGGTTGGGCACATCTGAATTGCATATTTCAGTCAATCTTTTTTTTTTGACGGTATTCAAGCTGTGCTTTTTGGAGAAATCATACGACTGAAATGGTCTTTTCTTTCAAACTTTAGGAACAGTTGTTCCAATTTTTCGTTTATATCTTCTGATGCTAAATAGTACTTTTTGCAGCAATACGCTTTGTTAAAAACCCAAAACTTTATTTGATTTGTTCTGCAAGTGTTGCATTATACTACCTTAGGCTGATGACTTTAGATTTCCAAGTAGAGGTGATCTACGACTGCGTATTGCTCAGGCACTTGTTGGCTATCAAAAAGCGCTTGTTTTTTGTATAAGAAGTAAAGATTCGGTTGAAAACTGGATCGTTCTTAAGCTTTGAAAAAAAATTCTGTAGCACTGTGTGAGCACCGTACACTGCAATTTGATATGCATCACTAAATATCTATGGTGCAAGTTCCCAGTTGTTCGTTACTGCATGCAGGTGCAGGCTGATTGTGTTATGTGAAATATCAACTTTTAAGGCTGCAAGACTTGCTGAATGAATCTCAAAACGTGCTTCGGAGTTTTGACTATGGCAGCAAAACAATTTATCCGGATGATGCTAACCTTTGAATGATTTATCCCTTTTGCAAACTTTGTAAACCATCTGTACGGTCTGTTCTCCTATAAAGGATTTTTGTGTTTCAAATGAAAAGAATTTTTACGGAAAAATTTATGGGTAAAAATAATAATGCGAAAGTGTAATGCGAAGGAAAATTAGACAATAAATTTCTCGATAACTTGTTGTGCTGCCATTCATAAGTTATCTTTTGAGATTAAAGAGGTGTAAAAAGTTAAGACTCGTGAATCAGAAAATCTTTATAGACTAATTTGTCGTATGCACTTTGAGATACTACATTTATCGGAGGTTCAGTTCGCGAAACTGTCTCAGCTACAATTGTCAATAAAGAAAAGCTGTGCTGCTTTTATTATATTTGATTACTATATCTGTAATTTTGGAAGCGTTTTTAG